TCAACTCAATGAGTATACAGAGGATCCAGCTGGGAGGACTTCTAGAAATTAGCAGGGATCTCTTCCTTCAGGTAAAGCCAGCAATGAAAAATAAACAAGAAAATATTTTGAAATCTTGTGCCCCCTTTTGCTGTTGTGTGGTATGAGACTTTGGTTTTAAAATTGCAGTGAGTCGGTCAGCCCACAAATACCCAGCTGAACACCCACTTCAACATTTCTTCATTAGAAGGCAAACTGACAGCTCTAAAATGAATGTGGACAAGAAGTTATTGCAGAGATGGCATGAATTTCACGTGGAGAGGTAATTAAATGCTAGACAGGTCACCTGCTGATGCAGTGGCTTGGATTCCAATGGCTGCCCATCAGCCTTTCAGAAAGACATCCAGATCTATTACAAACATAGGGTAAGAGTCAAACTGAGGAAGAAGCTGTTAAATAGAGTTATTTTGCTGGTAGTTTAGACCAAATGATAGCATTCTTTCAGCTCACAGAAGGCAAAAAGCTTTTTTGTGTTCCAGAATCAACTTCACATACATAATATGAAGTGTCTGTTTCTAACACTTCAACTGTTGCAATTGAAACAAGGAACCACAAAACAAGTGTTAGAATGGTTGCACATAATTGACCTTGATGGGCTGAAAAATGACAGAAGGAGCAAAAAGAGAACAACATAACTGAGTTTATCAAAATTTTTCACAGATTTATATGATATATTCAACATTTTTGTTTTGCTCTTTAGAAAGCCTCATGTTGTTCAGTCCTCTCTGTGGCTCTTAGAAACTCATACTGAAGAACAGGGATGCTTAATGCACAGCAGTCCAATATAAATGAAGCTCTGCTCCTTTACTACAATTTAACCCTGTTTGTGTAGGATAGATTGCAGTCTTGGGGAAGATATTTGATTACTAACTACATGCAGATCATAAACAGAATACGACTCCATACAGAAATGTAGAAAACTTAAGCTGAATTACTTAAATGATGAACACAAATGCATCCGTTGCACACAAACTTCAGGGGGTCTTCAGATCAAACCAGAGTCTGCAGCAGTGATGTTCTTCCACTGCCCTGAAAGCAAAAAAGCGTGGGCTTCCACAATAGACATGTACGAGCAAACAGCCCCATGCTGTGGACACTGCATGTACTAGCAAAAAAAATGTGAATTTACTGTACTTGAGCTGTCTCAGCTCACCCCGAATATAGTTACAGTAATATATATATTAATAGTCATATGAGTATTATTATAGTATAGTAATAAATACTAATGATTACTAAATATTAATAGTTATAAATATATTAATATAGCTCACCAGAATATACTGAAAATTATTAGGTTGTGATTAATTTAACACTTACTTGCATACTAAATTTGTGTAGACTACTATAAATAAGAGGAACTTTTCAAAAATATGGTAGACTTTAATTTTTTTTTAATTTAGCAGGGGAAAATATCAAATGAAGAAATTCTGACAAAAAAGCTGATGAGTGGCGTGGGGTCCTGGCAGTTAGATGGGGAGCAGAACTCAGTAGTGCTCTGTAGCAGGAATAGTGGACATCCCTCACTTGGTAACTGAGAACAAATGCTGTGCAGGGCCAAAATAAAAGTCTCTCCTAGAATTGATAAACACAAAGATATTATGTCTTTTTTTTTTTTTCCTGAAAATGAAGGTTTTAATAATTTTCCAGGGATTCAGCACACTCAGATACATAGTTCTTTACAGAACATTGATGAATCTTTCTTTCCCTTCTAGGAAGCTGCTTCTGACCTGATTCTAGATCACCTCCTTCCTTTCATTCTATTTTAAGATGGGAAAAAGAGGCCTTTATAGACATTTCTGCTAACATCCCTTTTATTCAGCTGTGGGGTGGAGCTGCTCTGAGCAAAGGGAACGTCCTTGGTAGCCACCCACTGAGCAGCAGTGCATCTGGACGTTGAAAAGAAAGGTTGTTTCCTAATTTGCAAGCAACAACCATATGTTCAGGAATGAAGAAATGCATACTCCACCTAATCCCAGGAGCTTCCTCTCCCCCCTGTGGCCTATTTAAAGTTATTCTTACACTCTTTACTGGACGCCAGCTACTAAGTGAATTACCTTCAAACTTTAGGCCCTTCAAGCAAAGTGATTGTAAGCAAAGCTGAGGAAAAACTGAGCATGCATGAACCATTGTTTCTAGTGACTCATGGCATCATTTTCCAGAGTGACTCTACTAGGGAGGTTCCAAGGCTTCTCCCTTTAGAGCAGATGGTGGAAATGTTTTTATTTGGCTTTGTTATTGTGTAACACTAGCAATCAAGATTGACGGAAGCTATAGAGACAAGATTCCTGTCACAAAGGTCAGGTTTTGTGAGAAAATATCCCACTCTATGGATCTACTTAGGAGACAGGAATTTACTACCAAACTTCCCTTGGCTCCTTGGGGAGCCACACTGCTTCTCTGTTGATAACTTAGCAAAACGGGTACCTGGCAAACTTGCCAAAGAGTAGCAATTCCTACAAAGACTTTTGTTTTAAGGAACTTTAAGGGCACGGGTACCACTGGGAGGTGTGTCTTAATACAATTTATGCAGCAGAATTTGCCTTCTTTTGAACAGCATAATTAGCTTCTTAGCCAGGATATAGGATGTTCCACAAGAAAACTGAACTAATACCCAAGTGAAAAAAAAGTGGGTAAGAAATCCTTCCATGTACTCTTAGCTTGAATTATTGCAATTAAAGGAATTGAATTTCAGTGTGCACCACCACAGAGCAAATAACCCATTGCACAGTCCTCCTTATTTCCTAAACTGTACAATCATTACTCAGAAGTACATGTATTTTATTCTGATGTCTACTTTTTGCATATGGGTCCACGTGTGACCCTTCTGTGACTGGTTGCTGGGAGAGGGTTATGAATTAATTACAAGATCATAGTTTCTTTTTATATTAATATTGTATAAAGCTGATGTGATGTGTGCTTTAAAACACACAGGCTTAAGGATTTTTTAGTGATTGCAAATCATGTGCTTTAGGTGCAGTAGCAAGAGAAAAGGTTTTGATAACATGCCTTGAATGGTTAGATTAAACAGGAATTACATTTTGGAAGTTTAATAACAATAGAGGCATCTAGTGGAAGCATTTGAGGACTGCAGCTGTCAGAGAATGCATGAATGCACAGCTGATTTTCCTGCATTACTTCTTCCCAAATGGACTTTCATTAATTGAGTCACAAATGCCAGTGACGGTTACATTTTATTTAAGAATAAGGAAAACTAAAATTTCATGGTATTTAGACATTGTGAGGCAAAGATGGTTTAGGAGCCAAATGGAGGGCTTGAAGGGAGTGTCAGTCTTCCTCTCAACAAGAAGAAATATCCTGTCCCACTCTTTTATCCAGCTTTTTAATGGTTAGAGGACTCCACCAGGACATAAGAGAAGATGTTCAATCTCCTGTGCCTGACAGCACACCTGAACCTTTATTACTTCCTATCATTATAATTTCCATGAAAGAAGAAGACAACTCAGCAGAAGTGCAAGCTACAGCCAGACTCCAAAGCATGCAGAAAGCACGAAGGCCTAAGGCTTGCTGACACATTCAGCTACTTTTTAATTTTCCTTTTCTCTTTTCTGTAGGGCAAAACACACCACAGAAGCAGCTGTACTAACATATTTAGAAAACATTAGAGAAGTATTTGACTTTTACACATTATGCTGGTTAGACACTCAGCTCCAGACAGCCAGCACAGCTTGTTTCTCTGTGACAGCAATAGCGTCTTGTGAAAGAGAAGTCATTCCTCCAAAAATCTTCCGTGTCTGACAAGGGCATCTTCATAGCTTGGGTCAGTTTGGCTCTACAATATGACTAGAGAATTAAACCTTTAATTTCCAAGGTATGCAAGTGAGGAAGCAGCCAGGTAACTTCGAGCAGTTTACTCCTAGGCTCACAGTGTTTTCAAAACACAGTTCTTGAGCATGCTTGAAGTCTATCCATTCAAACATTAGGTATAAACAGAGCCTGGATCTCCTATGCACTTTCAATGTCTAGGGCAAATTTCACTGAACATTTAGGCTCACGTTTACTTTTTTTTTTCCCTTGTTTGAGTGTAGGAATGGATCATAAAGCCTGACCTTAATAACTGCACTCTCATTTATTTCCACCTCAATTTTTCTTTATGGGGTGATGTGATAGATTTCTTTTCCAGAAAAGCCTGCATTGTAGGCTTGGATATGTCATGTCTAATATTCTTGTCCTTTAATTGGTTAATTTGATTAATGATTGTGGGCTGCAGCCCAAGCTTTAAACTCCACAGTGCTGCCCACTGCAGTCTCAAGTCTTCAAGGAACTTTCTTTTTCCATGCCTCTCTCATACAGAATTGACATTACCGGGGGCCTGAGCTCCAGGGTGCCTGTGGGTGGGAGGATGCAAGGCTGAGTAAGATCTCATTCTAGTCATGGCTTTCACAGAATTAGGTTGGAAAAGACCTCACAAGTCCAGCTTATGACTGAACACCACCCTGTCAACTAAAGCATGGCATCAAGTGCTACATCCAGTCTTTCCTTAAATACCTTCGGGGATGATGATTCCACCACCTCCCTGAACAGTCCATTCCAAAGTCTGATCACCCTTTCTGTGGTGGAATTCATCCTAAGGTCCAACCTCAACCTCCCCTGCTGCAGCCTGAGTCTGTGGCCTCTTATCCTGTCACTCCTTGCTGAACGAGACCGATCCCAACCTGGCTACGCCCTCCTTTCAGGGACTTGCACAGAGCCATAAGGTCACCCCTGAGCCTCGTTTCTCCAGGCTAATCCCCCGCCGCTCCCTCAGCTGTTCCTCACAGCACTTGAGCTCCCAGATCCTCCACCAGCCCCGTTGACCTTCTCTTTGTTTTAGGCGGGGGTCGCTGGCGGCTCCCCGTTCCTTTAAAACCGCCCAAGACGACAACCCCGGTGCGGCGGCTCCCGTGCCCCGGGCGTGACGCCGCTGCCGGGGAGGGCGGCCTCCCGCCGGCCCCTTCCGGGCGCGTCTCGGCCCGCGGGGCGCCGCCGGCTCCTCCCGCCGCAGCCGGGCCGGCCCCGCCTCCTGCTCCAGCCGCCTTCTGACACCGCTCCGCGGCCTCTCGGCCCGCGCCGGCCCGCTCCTCCTGCCGGTGCTGCCATGGCCTGTTCCGCCCCTGGCCGGGCCTGAGCGCCGGAAGCCCGTGGGGCCGCAGCCCGGCCGGCCGCCGACACTGCCCCGGCCGCCGCCCGGCGATCCCCCGCCGCCTCCTTCCCCGCCGCCTTCGCCCGGCTCCGCCGCTGCTTCCCTCGACCGCGAGGTCCCGGCGGGAGGCGGCGGCGGGCGCTGGCTGGAGCAGGCGGCGGGGAAGATGGCGGGGAACGGCGGCGGCTTGGCCGGCGCAGGGAGCGGGGAGATCATCCAGCTCAACGTGGGCGGCACCAGGTGAGCGGGCGGGCCGGGGCCGGCGGCGGGCGGGGGGCAGCGCCCAGGGGCCGCGGCGGGGTTCGGCTCCGCCCCGGTGCTGCCGCCGGGACGGCGGTACCGGGGGCGGACACGGGCGCATTGGCAGCTCCGCTCGGTGTCTGCCCGTGATGCCAGGGCAGCTTGCTCTACGCACACCTTGGAGACTCCGGGAATCCTGCTTCTTCAGGGATAGAGAAGCTTTGCCGTCACATCCGCAGGCTTCTAGTGAACAGTCTGTGTAGCAGCTTCAGAGAGTAAGCTACTAAATTCGCTGATACGATACCGCTGGTATCAACGAGAATAAAGAGCTGTATTGTTTTCAAATGTACGCTGCCAGTGTGGAAGCTGGCAGATGTAGAGGTTTTGGCAGGCTGAGGCAGAGAATTGTGGGACAGCTGTGGTCAGAATCTGCGTGATAAACAGTACAAACATTCCTGTCAAAATGCTCAGGCATGAAATCATTCAGATTACCGTAGCTAATGGAAACTGAAGTAATGTGTTTTCCCAAGTAACGTGCACAACGTGGAGACAGCTATAAGTAGTAAGAGCTACTACTGCTATTTTAAGAATTGTCTTGCATTACTCAGAGCATGGACTTGATCTGATAACTAAATTGTGTGCTGCAGCCTTTCTTAAACCAGAATGCCATAGAAATCGATGCAGAATTCCTTTGCTTTAGTAAGATATTAAGAAGCTGGTTCAACCCTGAGAAGCTGCTTGTAATTTGCACAGGCGAAACTCACCTGTAATGATGCTTTCAGGGTAACTTTGATGTAGACTGGACCAGATTTCATGTTATGTTGCATAAGGTTCTTCAGTGAACTCTGTATCTGAAATTACAGGCCAGTTTAACTTTTAAGATTTTATTACCTGTGGAATCTTAAAGCTGCTTTCCTAATTAAATGCCTCTGCAGAGAAGAGAGAATTATGCAAAGGGCACTAATCAGGGAAGAAACACACACCCTCAGAGGGCTTGCCTACACAGAGAGGTGGGAAGAGTGAGGCAAATTAGTCAACATTTGGATGTAAGCAATAGGAAATGTGTGCATGGATATTTCCCCTATAATAGATAGACTCTGTACTGTAGTACTTCTGTGTGAGAAGTTTTGGTCTTTTGCAAACTCAGCTTCCCTTGTAGTGTCCATGTCGTTTAAAAAACACGCCTGAGCCATGTTTTTCAGTTTGGAAAGGCAGGTTTAGCTGATAGTGGAGTGGATGATGTGCACAGTAAGTGGGTGAGAGTAGGGTACTACACACGTTTGCTCCTCTTCAGTAGTTCTCATTACTCTCACTAGAAACCTGAAACTCTTAGTGTTGTTTGCAGAATTGTATGAGAAAAGGAAATGAGCACTCCCCTCTATTTCTACCACAAACTTGGAGCATGTACTAGAGAGACGCCAGCTTTTCCATGCTCAGACACGATGTCCCCACTGCTCCCTGGGACTTCTGGAAGTCAGGACTTCTCTGTGTGTGATGGCTCCGTCACTTCCTGGTCACAACTTCAGTGAATTCCTTTACGGTGGAGAAAAGTCTCTCTTCTGTTAATGTTCACAGAAATTACTGTATTAAACTGGTTGAATTCTTTTGACTCTGTATCTCCCTCTGGTTACAATGTAAATAGGATTTGAAAATGGTTGTTTTATAGCTTTTACTTGTCATGTCTGTTTCCAGTTGCCTATATTTTTTTCAAATAACTTCAAGCTGGCATGTCTTTAAGGGTCTTTTGAGGATATTGCACTGGGTTTGCCTAGTTTCCTTATATGAGGCCTGTCTGACCACTTCATGGAGCTGCAGATACACCGATGCATTTAAATGTTGCTGGCTAAGCTTCTTTCTGCATCCTGGAAAGGAGGACTCTGTCTGGTTGTTTACATAGATTAATGCCTATGTATTAAAAGTTCTAAAATGTATGTTAGTGTGAGGTATTGCTTACTAAACTGGTACCATAGTGCTAAATTATAGACAGGAAATCCTGGGGCTATCTGAACACACTGATAAATTTGAAAGAGGATGATGGTGATGCTGCATCAATCCCTATAGTAACAAACAGTGTCTGGATTAATTCCAGATAAAATTAATGTAATTCATTGTTTTCACATGCTGTAATATAGTTAAATGAATCATCCCTTACTCTGAGACAGAGGTAGTGACCTGTATTACTGATAAGAAAAGCTGAGCAAAACTACTTAGAAGTATATTAGAGAAGAGTTTTGGGTTGGTTTTTTTTTTTTTTCAGAAAAGGCTTTGTGCTGCTGGTGCTTAGAACACTGACGCAGTAGGTCTTCTGTTAAGAACACATTTGCCATTGTTGTTTGCAGTGAGCAGATGCACAATCCATGTTTTGTATAGTTCCACATAGCCTCTGTGTTTCTGCCTCATAGGAAGCATAAAATAATGGGGTTTGTTTACTTCCCCCCCCTTCAAACCTGGAAAATACTAACAGTGAAAATGATATAAATTATGATTAAATATTTTTATTAAAAAATATTTTGTATTTTGTAATCCTGTACTAGATGGCAAGTTGTAATGGAATTTTACTTTTGAATACCCTTTTTGTTTTCCATTAATTAAGAGGTCGCCAGAGTTTTCTTAGTCATGGCACTAGTAAGAGAATATGTACAGCCAGAGAGTGATGCAGAGCATGAGCTCATTGTCCAAGCTGCCAGTTCAGTTGTCTTCCTTCATGTTAAATCAAAACCAGAAGTAGTATAAAATAATCCATAGTTATTTATTATGTAAAGTATTGTCTGGCATTATAAGTAATAGTATCATTTTTATTATTTCACAATATGATTCAGAGTAAATAATGTTTTTCTTTTAACTGTTATTGTTATTGCTCCTCCCTCCTCCCCAAGAGGGGCCTAAATACCAAAATGGCAAATAATTCATGTTCCTATAAAATATTAACTTGAAGCTCACTGTAGTCTTTTGCTGTGCATAATGTAGCACCTTTTCAGTCCTAAGTAAGAGCAGCAGAGTAGCAGGCAGTTATTGACAAATACAGCACACTAATGATAAATATATATTTTATTGTTAGGGTTTTGTGTGTGGAGCAATGTTTGGGTTTTGTGGATGGTTTTTTGCAAGCATTAATGTTGAAGTGTGAGAACCAGGAAATACAGGATGTTTGGGACAGTGTGTTGCAAACATATAAAGAATGTTACTTTTGTGGTCTCCAGACAGTCCTGCTTCATGCTTAAGGACAATCTGTGCAAAGAATCTGCAACTTCTGACATGTTGCAGCTATTTTAAACATCTCAAACTTCCCAAACCTGTTTGATATTAGCTTTGTAGGACAAATCAAGGAGTTTTAGATAAAGCAGTCTTTTTTTCCAATTTTACAGTTGATTCTGAATTTGTAACTTTGTTTTCATAGGTTCAGCACATCAAGACAAACACTGATGTGGATTCCAGACTCATTTTTTTCCAGGTATTTTTAATATATCATCACATTTGACAAATACAAATTAACAGTTATTAAAAAAAAAATGTTCTTGGTTCTTAATTTGTTGTAAATAGTATTAGTGCTTTTTCCCCCATCTCAAGCAATGGGACAGATTCATTTGAAGTAAGCTGTTACCCAAGAGGCATCTTCTTCCTTGAATGTAGCCATGGCAGCTTATATGTGCTGAGGAGCTGTCACTTTTTAGATGGAATGTTGTGGACATAACCTCCAGTTCTGCAGGAAAGGGACATGCCACTGGCTGTGACTCTGTTACAACTTGTGATCTTACTGGCCATATGCATTAGCAGTGCCTTTAACATTTTTGGTTTTGTTTGGTTTGGCTTTTTGTGAGTTGTTTTTCTACTCTGAGTTACCTCAAAGTTTTGAGGGTTTTGACTTGTGCTACAGAAGATGTTGAATTATTGAACATCCTCTATTTACATCAGTGCCATTACTAGTTCTGCAGGTTTGTATTTTGTTCTGCATCTGCTGTACCTCTATCATCCCGGTTAATCCTAAAACCACAGAGGAAGGCCTAAATGCTGGCAATTTTATTTCCTTACATTTAATTTTTATATTCTAGATGTCTTTACCAATAAAAGCCTAGCAGCTGACATGTGCAGCATTTCCTGTTCCTATTTTACTGAAATGTTCAGATAAATGAAATGCCAGGGAAATACTACCTTCTTTGAGGCATGCAAGGAAAGGCACAAGGAGGAAGTCTCATGCTACTCTCCAGTCTCTCAACACAAAATTTGCTAAGGAGGTTGTTCTGAAAGTTATCCAGTACTGGAAAATCTCAGATAATTGCCATCCAGAACCAAATAAAAGCTGTAGATGTTGGTGTCCATCTTACCTGTAAAATGAGATTTTGGCATTGTGTTTTATACGGGTCTGGAGAAAAAGTACTGTGATCTGATGGGAGAAGAACTTTGAAGTAGAATTGTGTAAAAATGAGCTCATGCCACTTTTGTCCAGTAAGTCCTTACAGACTGGGTTGTTGTTGTTTACTCATCATTTTTCCTTCAGCAGCTTTTACCAATTTAACTAGATTTTAACAAACTACACAGCCCTCTAAGTGGCTGGGAAAATTTTTTAATCCTTTCAGGCTAGGCCTTGTGTCTATTTTCTTTGGAAATCTGAAGGTCCTTATGATGCATCGCTGAGACTTTCCTTAGGTGTGCATACACTTCTCCTTTGTCCAGGACAGATATTTCACTCCTCCAGCATTCTGGCTGTTTTGTTTGCTCTGATAAACTGTGTTACCAAAAAGTAACCAAGGAGACCTAACTGACCCAGAATGTTGCTACCTATGTTAGTATGTGAAATATGTCAGTACATTTCTGAGGGACACCTAATGAAGATTTCCTGTTTTTCAGTTTGCTGAGCGGAAGAATTTCAACACTAAAGGATGAAACTGGTGCTGTGAGTAATAAATGTGCTGTAACTCATTAATTTGATGTTAGGCTTTTGGTTAGGTTCTGTCCTAAAACATTTTCACTGTGGGTGCTAATGGAATTACACTGCCTGAGTCAGGCTAAACTTTCATTGGAAATCAGTGACACCTCTGGCTTTCTCGCTTCTCATCCTTGTTTCAAACCAAGTGAAACTGAAAAATGTTCATACTTCTATGCTAATGATGCATTATACAGGTAATGCAGAAACAGCAACTCTACTTTTCTTAAGCAGAGCAAATGCTAATTGCTGTATTGCAGCAAGGTATAATTTTCATTAGATAGGCATTGCATGTGTAGTTGAGTAATCTAACATGGAAATGTAGCACTTTTTTTTGGCAAAAACATGTAGCCATGGCCATTTCAGTCTGTGGGTATGATATTCCTAAATGGGAAACTATAGTTACAGTAATCTTGTTGAGCATAGTAAGGCACACAAGTACTTTGCTAAAAGTGTAGAGGTAGTTTTGATGGTAATTGAATTTTAAAAAGTCAAAACCTATCTTGAGATCTTATTACAGCTACTGCATATTGAACACATGCTAGAAAGTGAAAGCATCCATTGTCCTTTGTGGAGATTAGAACCTAAAGAACAGATTTATTAAGTGCCATCTATTTGCAACAGTGTTTGTATATATGTCATGTTTAATTTAGTGGACAGTAGAATAATGAGAACAAAGAAGAGGCTCAAAAACTTTGAGTTTTGTTTGTCTGCTCACCTCCTCATCTTCAACTCCTTTCCCACATTCAGCATAAAATAGCACTTTAGTTGATGGTTGCTCCATAACAGTACTCAGGGACAGAAATTTTTCTTTGCAGATATTTATTGATCGAGATCCAGCAGCATTTGCACCCATTTTAAATTTTCTTCGCACAAAGGAGTTAGACTTACGGTAAGAAGTTAATGTCAATCCAAATTGTGTGTTCAAGTGATGAATATTTCATCTTGCTCATCTAGTTGGGTGCCTGGTATGTGGCTCAGCTCCCTCATAGATGTTGGGCCAGGCCTAGAGTATATGTATGTCATGGTGGAAGCAGAAATAGTGACATTCTGTTTTGTTAGTAGATTCTTGTAATGTAGACCACTTCTTGTAGTGTATTTATTTATTGTTTCTTTATCTTTATTTTAATGAAAATTGAGTCAAATTAAGATCACTTTAAAATCTCAAACATCAACATGTTGAATGCATTTTGTGGTAATTCTATAAACTGTTAGGTAGCTTGATATTTAGATTTGTAATGTCCAGTTGTATGCAAGCATTTATATTCAAAGTATTGACTCACTTTGTTCTTGTCGGGTTTTGTTTTTTTCCCTATTTCTGTAGGGGAGTGAGTATTAATGTCCTCAGGCACGAAGCTGAATTCTATGGAATCACTCCTTTAGGTAACTATTTTTTTCTTAATGTGAGCTCATCTTATAATTATTATTGTAGTAATGGTCTACTGACAAATCCTGGGCAGTTGTGACGCTGAAGATTTTCAAAGTAAAAGTTTTTAAAAATGGAAGGATATTTGAGATAATGTAATGTTTTCAAGGAAGTGAAAGCTGTGGTCATATCTGGGTTTCCTCTTTAGTGAGAAGATTGCTACTATGTGAAGAACTGGAACGCTCATCATGTGGCAGTGTCCTTTTTCATGGCTACCTACCTCCTCCAGGTATCCTTGCATTCATGGTCTGATGTTGCTTGCTGTCACTTGCTGCTGTCACTTGTGACTTAAACCTATGACTTTGATCTCTGTGCTGTAATAAACAGCATGTTTGGAATACTGGGCAGGGCGTGTGGCATGTTAGTACTAAGCAGTGTGTTTGGTTGTAGACTAGAGCTGAGGTTCTTCAGGAGCCTTTCAGTTTAATGTCATCAGCATGAGGTGCTTTCTCCTTTCTGTCCTATTGCCTAGTGACAAATCATCACTAATGAGCTTTCCTTTACCAACATAAGTACCTGTTAGACTTTTTAAATTCTCTGTAGAGATGAAACACATTTCATGTATTAACCTGATGTCTAAAGGATATCTTGCCAATTATTGGAAAGTTTTCTGAAGATAATTCTTAGATGGTGAATGTCAACATGGAGAGCAAAAGCATTTCCTGTTTCAGTGTTACAGTACTGCCTGTTTCTTTTAGCAGATAAATTAAATTTTCATCAAAATGCACAAGTGCTAATCCTGTATTTCTAAAGTGAACGTAATCTGTTATATTACGTGAGTTTAAGGAGGGACACAAAACATTTTTTTTTTTTAATAGGCATTCCCAGCCGTAAGATAAATAATACTACTGGGCCACCGACTGACGTCAGAACGGGTCAGAGTGAGAGTGAGATGCATGGAGGTGGTGTCCAGCCTACACTTGCTGGTACGGGGGAAGGTACAGTCAGACTAGGTGAGCAGTGTCAGTTTTAAAACCAAAGCAAATTGCAAAGATGATTATCTCTGGGAAATAAACTGTGTGGCTGTGTCCGTTTTAAATCTGCTATTCTCTGTTTGCCTGCTTAAAATTGCTGAATACTTAGTGAAAGACTACTCCCTATACAGTACTGAAGGCTCACTGCTTCACAGTCCAGGTGTGAGGCTTGAGAGAAAGGCAAAGTTCTTCATGCAGTCTTAGCATGACCCCTTAGACAAATGCCTTATACTGTACTAAAACCATAATAAAAAACAGAGAGGCCACTCTCTTTTTGGTCTTTTTCAGGGCCTAATTCCTGCTCTTCCACCTCTTTCTTGTTCTTGGTGCCTCACTTGCCCTGAAAGAGTCAAGTTTTTAGAGTAAAGGTAGTCTGCACAGAAAAATTGTGAGGTAGACCTGTATTGTGTGATTTTCCAGCTTTTGACCTTGTAAGAAAAATGATGCTGTTAGAAGTGTTGTATTTCTGTCATAATCCTGTAAATCATAGCAGTGTTAGGAAAATCTATACTATGTTAAAGGCAAATCTATATATAATCTAAAAGAAGGATATGAATTGCTGATTCTTAGTGAGCTGCTAGAGGTTTGGAAGCAGGCAGTCCTGGATAAAAGGAGGTAAAAGGTGCGTTCTTCAAGCATTAGTTCTGTAGCATACCAAGGCTGTGAGGAGCAATACTATGAACTAGAATTTTGCTGAAAATGATTCTTGAAAACTTAATTATCAAAGATTCTGTTGCACATCCTAGCAGAGAGCTCTATCCGGTTATAGATGTGTCTGCTTATCTAATACTTGTCACTTGCCTAACTTCAGCTTTGTTGTTTTTAGGATTTCCTGTGGACCCACGCAAAGTCCTAATAGTAGCTGGCCACCACAACTGGATAGTAGCTGCCTATGCCCATTTTGCTGTTTGCTACAGGTAGGAATAAAGTTGCTTGTCAGTTTACAGGAAGCTAAACAATATCATTATTATTGGCTAAGAGCAAAACAAAATGCTTACTCTGAAATAGCAGTAGATAAATTCGGTCTTATCCTATTAATGTGAGTTGCTGCTTCTTATCCTATGAATATGAGTTGCTGCTTTTTTTTTGGTGGAAAAAAAAGCTTGATCGGAACTCAAATTTTGCTTTGATGTCACTTATTGATACTGCTGGAAAAGTTGCAAATTGACTCCAATACAACTGCTTTAAAAGCCTGTTTTAGAGCAGGCTTTTCAATGGAAAATTAATTTAAAAAGTTTTCCTGCTGTGAGTTTGGAAACAGTCTATGATGTTACACTGTCAAGGAAGCTGAAACAGTTAAGGAATTTTTGCTACATTTGGCTACCTTGTCTTCAGGTTTTTTTAGCTGAGCAGATCTATTAAACACTTGCTACTTCACTTGGATGGCTGAAAAGTGTCTTCAATGTCTTGAAAATAAACTGGCTATTTTTTAAGATCAGGTGAATATAAGCAACACTTCCACATTACAGAAGCTGTCTTTAGTTCACATCTCATAGTCTTGATTTAATTGGTGGCTGTCTTTTGGATGGAAAGTAATGTTTTAACAAGAGCTGTTGCTCAGACCAATCTAACATGGCTGTCATACTGTGGTTCAGAAAAAGAGGGGAGAAGAATGTAATGGGAACAGCTTCTTTCTGCTTACTGCCAAGCTAAAGCCATACTTTGTTGCCTTATTACTCTTGAATACTAACTCAGTTGCTTAAACTTTGTAACTAATCACATCTAACTTACATTCACCACTGCATTTTTTTTTGCTTTAATTTGTGTTAAATGTGGATTCCCTGGCTCTGCTTAATGTTTTTGTCTGACAGAGAAAGAGGCAATGATTGGCAATTGGTTTTGTGCTAATTGTCCCCTTTTTAGGATTTTCTCACTTTTGAAAGATTCTGCCTCTTTCCTGTTTGTTAAACTACTTAACAAGACTTTTTCCTATTGAAATTATGGCATTAGTGATGCTTTTGATGAACCATGTCAGACTTGAATGGCTGGTGAGAGAGGGTGCAGGTCAACATGCCAGTTTAAAGTGCTGCTTTTCTTCACAGCGACTCAAGGTAGCAGTCTTGTATTCTTTTTTTCTTCCAAAACTTGAAGGAGCTCTAGGAATACAGTGGTGGAATTTTCCCTCCTCCATTCTTCTAGAGCAAAGTACAGGGCATCTCAAAGATAATATTTTTTTAAAATTTTGAAGTATGACAAAAGTATTTTAAAATTTGATCATAGGGTTTGTGAGAATGTCTTGGTTGCATTCAAAGTCTTGCTACTGCAACTGTGCTTTTAAATCTGTTCACTACAACTTCTGCATGTTGCATGAGTGGGTACTTCAGCTTCAGGCAGGATGCAACACTGAAGTGAAATAATGGCAACAGTGCTAAAAAGTACACATACCTTTTTGCTTTTAATTTTCTGTAATTTGACTGCAAAGATCTAGTCTGCTTTAGCTCCATTACAAAATATCTAAATTATTACCTGAATTTAAGTAAGATAAATTGTGCCTACACCATGTATGTCTTCAAAATGCACAGGGAAGTTATTCTCTAAAAAGAAAGCTTATAGTCAATTCAGTATTATCTGCTTACAGTGCACCATAAATAGAAAATGTGTTGGAAGAGGAGAGTTTTATGCTAAAGTATGATTGGGTTTCTTGCATGGTATATAAGGAGATTAATAGAGTTTTATTCTGAAGTCTTACACTGAACCTCATTATCTAGAGTTTGTTAGCCCAGGCTTTTGGCTTCATATTGTAACTTTAATATCAGATGTGCTTACATTAAGAAAAAGCCCAGCAGGTGCAAAGCACTGAAATAATGTGCAATATCAGACTTCAAAATGGAAAAAAATGCAGCTCTTTTAGACTGTAGTTCTTAACCAGAATGTGAAGTTTGTGGCTTCGACTGTAAGACTGAATCATCCACACTGGTTCAGGATTAGACTGGGCTATCTGTTCTGAGTCTCTGACATCTGCTCCCTGTTCTCCCCTTTGCTCTTCCAGAATCAAAGAGTCGTCTGGGTGGCAGCAGGTGTTCACCAGTCCCTATCTGGACTGGACCATTGAGCGGGTGGCTCTCAATGCCAAGGTGGTTGGAGGACCTCATGGAGACAAGGACAAGATGGTTGCAGTTGCCTCGGAGAGTAGCATTATCTTGTGGAGCATTCAAGATGGTGGTAGTGGCAGTGAAATTGGTAACTATCATTACCTGTTTTGTTTTTTCTTTTGTGTGTGTGTGTTTAACTAGAAGGAATTCTGAGACCTTGTTCTGTGGTATGTGTGATTTCTGGTGTTCAGTATTCACTTTCACAGATTGACAAAACAAACTATAGTACAGCAACCTGCTACAGTCTTTTAACTTCCTTCAGTTCTGCACTAGGAATCCTGTCTTAAAATCGAAGAGCTGGAGAATAAAAGAGCACTGTGTTTACTGAAGAGATAGTAACCAATACTTACTGTTCAGGTTGAGGTTTTTGTGTAAAAATTCAAATTAAGATTTGAGTTTTCCCTAGACTTGCATTTGGATCTGGGCCATAACACAAAGGAACCAAGCTTTGGCGGTGGAAACCTACAGACACAAAGTGATTCTGCTCTTTCCTTTATGTTATTAAAGCCACATTTCTACATAGAGATGATGAAAATACTTCAGTTCTCTGTCAAACACGGTTTATAAATGGAGTCTGGAAGATTAAAATTTCTTGAGATTATAACTTGGGTGTCAGGGTAGGAAAAAAGCCCCCACTATTCCTTCAAGCGTACAAGAATTACTGCTTATACACCATGGCACTGAAGGACACACAATTGTAAGGTTTAGAAACAGCAAGAAGACATTTCCAGAGGTAAATATTCCCTGATACTGATCTGATGGCTTGTCTGAGTCATTGGTGTTCAAATATAGGGCAAATTTGGGAGGCACTGAAGGGAATGGTATTTGGAACTTCCTCTAGCCTAATCCCTGGTGTTTGAATAACCACTGCTATGCCAGTAATGTCTGTTTCTTCTGGCAGTGGATATTGCTAACAAAGTATGACAGTAGTCTGGTTATGTGAGCACTTTTCTCTGAAACTTAATGCTGAACTAATTTGTTATTAGATGTATTTTCATAGTTGAAGCCTTGAGAATTATAGTGGCCATTAATTAAAGTCAAAATTACCAAATTCAAGTTTTGACCCACGTGCCTTTAAAGAAGAGCTTATTTGACAGATTTCTCAGGCAATTTCTAGCTATGTTAATGGATGTTGCATTGAATGTGTGAAAACACTAAGTCATATTTGAAGATGGGGAAAGGCAAAGGTCTTGTATGAGCTGTGTACTGCTCTTTTACTGGTGACTCTTAGAGTTCTTTTATATAATCATGGTCAGCAAAATGGAAAAGGAGATTCCATTGTACTTAAAAAAATGCAAAAGGTGTGTCTAAGAATTGAATATGAAATTATTTTCATTAAATGCAGTGAGTAATTATCAGATCTGAGAAGCCTTTTCTTCTCCTCTGCTCCCATTGACTGAATCTTAAGGACAGAGAAGAGTTGGTGTGACAGCTGTACTCCTGTAACAGGCATTGCTTTAAGCTTTGTGCCATTACATTCCTCCTGCATTTTCTAGTTTCAATTAGTTTCAGGATTAGACTGGGCTATCTGTTCTGAGTCTCTGACATCTGCTCCCTGTTCTCCCCTTTGCTCTTCCAAATCCTGCTTGTGTTACTTCAGGATTTGCAACAAGATACAAGAAGCAGCATCTTGGATTTTTTAAAAATCAAGTGCAGAGACATAAAAAAACATAAATGGACTTTTATTTCAAATAGAAGTAAAATATGCCAGTATCATAAGCTTAGACTATGACTGAAAATGGCAACAAAACTGAAGCAAGGACTTTTGCTAATCAGGCAAAAGTACTGCATTCAAGTGACACTGAAACAGAGTAATTGTCACTTGGGGTAGGAGGAGGAGGGGGGAAGCAGACAGAAAGTGCCTACAGGATGAAATTCCCAGTCAGACTGACATTGACCAAAATGTACTGCTGTTCTTTTGGATAATAGGTCATGTTGATTGGTTTAAAAAAATGCTTGGTTTTAATAGTTATGACTTGAATGTAGCTGTTTTGTTTCCTTGTAGAGACAAATGCTTGCAGTGCTGCTTTGTGCTAGAGATACAGTACATTGCTGTCATCTTGTGAAAGAAACTACTTGTTCCAAACAGTTGCTGGAGCCTGGCAACACCATCCCCAGCAAATTGTGTGGGCTGGCATCTCTGTGATGGAGCTCTCCCAGAGCGCTTCCTTCCCTTTCGATATTACTTATGTAAGAGACTGCTGCTGGCTTGCTGCTGTAAGCAGTGTTTTACTGAGAGGGACCCTTAGGACAAGAGCCTGTCATTACATATAGTGTTGTCTCTCCTGTGGACAAGTCTCAAGATTGTTGAGTCTAAGCAGGACTGACACTTCAAATTCCTCCAGACCATTCAAGCTGTCTTACTTGATTTCCTTGAACCTTGTCCTTCTCTGGAGTAATCAATTCTAGTTGTTTCTGTGGATTTTTTATTACTGCCTTTTTCATGTGCCCTGTACTGCTGAATCTTATCTGCATTGAATGATTGTACTTTGCCCTGGAAAATGGTTTGGCACTATAATTAAAACAACTTCCTCAGATTCCTTCTTGAATGCTACGGAGGGCTGATTCTTGTGTGGAATGACAGTCTGTTCATTTGAATTTGTCCTAAACAATGCTGAGGAATTTTCCAGCTATTGAATACTCTTGTTTTGACAACATCTATCTGCTGCAGTTAAGGTATATTAGTGAGAAGTAGTATAAATATATAAAGTGAGCAGGATGCAATAGGAAATTTGTGAGTGACGCTTGACACTTTGGTGTTGTAATGTATCCCCAGCATTTTTGTACTTACCAGGCAGAAAAACAGCTTAGAATTATTTACAAACCAAGTTAATTATAGGGCCAGTTTGTTGGAGTTCATAGCTGGCAAACTTGGAAATTACCTCAGACCTTTTGAGTATGCTGTAACTTTTAAATACATGGGCAATAAGTAGTACAAAATGTGGTACGTTATCCAAGTTCACAGTTCAGTTAAAGTTATTCATGTTGGATCTATGGTGAGACTTGGAATCTCTAAAGAAAGGATCAATTTTGTGTAAAGCCTCAGATGTTAAGGTCAACTACAACCACAGCCATCAATGCCTGTCAAGCGCTGCATTGTGTTGATTTTTATTAAGTGAAATGTTCTTGATGACACATTTCCTTTACTTGGAAGGCCAGCATTTATTTGCTGGTAAGTTTTATCTTCCAAATTTGAGTAGTATGTGATGATTGGTGAAACTGCTTCCCTGTATAGCTTCAGGTTTTAATAGCCTGTTAGCCTGTACTCTCTGCTTATGGACTGCAACCAAATAAAAGATCTGGGAATGAAAAGAAAGAAGTAGGCTTTTGCAGGCTGCTTTTTTTTTTTTTGAGTTCAAGTATTTCTACTAAAAGAGAAATTAAAATGTATTCAAATAAGGTCACATTTGAGTTGTTCAGTCTTTTCCAAAGAATAAGGCTGAAGCCTTGTAGTCATATTTAGTTCCTGAAATAAATTTTCAAAATATTTTTACTTGACTGGACTTAAAAAAAAAGTCATCAAGAATTTGTAATATTTTAACAGGTAATTGCAAACTAGTATGCCACAAATTTGCAAAACCCTGCAATGAAATTACTGCTTCTTAAATGATGCTTCATAGTCACAGCTAAATAAAAAACCCACAAAAGCACCAAAAGTTCCTGTTTGCTCTAATATAAATATTTTTTAATTTTAAAGCCATTTGAGAACTTGATGGCTGTAGAAAAAATGTTTGTATATTTCATAAGGGCTCTTTTAGCTTCTTGTGCCTCTTTTCTTCTTTGTAAACAATTATGATATTAGCAGAGATGACATCCCACTGGCATTCATTGGAACCCAGTTTGCTGCATGTGTGGTATCTCACCTGGCACACTGCAAACCCAGTTTTGGCTGTTCTTTACTTGCTCCTGGAATAAATGTGATGTGATAATAATGGAGAGATTCTCTTGTTACTGTGTTTTCCTCTTTATTTTAGATGAGCTTCACAGCCTCTTCTTCTTTTGCAGGAGTGTTCAGTCTTGGAGTGCCTGTAGATGCTCTCTTCTTCATTGGCAACCAGCTGGTGGCTACAAGCCATACAGGGAAAGTCGGAGTGTGGAACGCTGTGACTCAGCACTGGCAGGTCTGTTCAATGTTCCACACCACTTTTTACAAGCTGGAATGCCTTTCTAGTAAAAAGAGGATAAAATAATTCAAAAGCATGTGGGAAGTGCTCATCATAGGCTTTTCAGCCCAAACTTGTATTATGGAGTTTATCACCTGGGTAATTGTGCCTGTGAGCAGAATGTTGACTTGTTTGGTGTTGCTAAGAAGCATGCTTTTAGGCTCTTAAATGAAAAGATGTGGTGTGATTTGGGGTAATAAATGTCAAGTACCAGTGTACTTAAACTTCTTTATGGATTGCTATATTGCTAAGTTGTGGGGAATGTGTGACAGCAATTTCTGGACTATCTGAAAGAAAACAAGAAGGGTCTTCAAAGCTGCTTTACAATAGGAGACTCTTTGTCAAAAGAAATATACGACTATACTTTAGTGATGTGTGTCTTGTGTGTGGATGCTTCTGACTGCACTGATTCCTGTTGTCAGAATGCACATTAAATAGAGAGATCCACGTAGTCAGTATGAGTCTGAGAAACAGTCGAGCATTCAAATAACAAAGCTTGTAATGCAGCTGGATGTACACCTTTGTGGCACAAAACCTGGATGCACTGAAAATCCCAAAAATGTCTTGCAAATCTCAAGAGGCAGAACTGACCTGAGGCTGCTTCACTGTTTGCTGACTAAGTTCTGATTTGACTCTTAAGTGACAGTACTGGTAACAAATAATGTAGATAATAGGTGTGGGATAACTCTGCTTCTGCATCAGAGACAGACAGGTTAGTATGGCCTTCAATTAAACAAAACATTATTGATGCCTTTCAGAATCTTCTTTTAAGGAACAACTTAATGCTATGTGGCAAGTTGATGTTTAACAATATTTTCTAAAGGAGCAAGTTATAAGAAATAAAACCTGATGTCCCATTCATTATCTTTGTTTCTGGGGGAGCCACAGAAATCTTCCTTATCAGGTCAATAGTTCTTCAGTTTGACTGACTAGTCCTTTGGTGAAAGCATTTCTTACTGAAGAGGAGGAAATCTTTGAAAGGCTTATACACCAGTGTGTCTATAAAAGATTTTGGATGGTTTTTTTTCAAGAGGATGAGAACAGCTCCTTTTATAAACAAACAAACAAAGTCAACGGAAACATAAAACTAACAACATCCACCCACTTCAAACCAAACCAACAAACAAAAAACCCAAACAATACCATTTCAAGGTGCTTTCTGTATCTTGGGCTCTTTTGCTAGTAAAAAAAAAACCCAAAAACAAACCACTGTACAAATGTCTTCCTTTAGATCTTAATATCCCTTTAGAACACATTGTTTCCTAAAGAACCCCATAAAAATGTAAAGTGGCAGGGTTAATCTTGAAATTCCTAATGAGAATATCTGATGTTTAACTGACTGCTTTCCCATGAGTTGCCCATAGCTCTGGACTTAGGATGCAATCATACTTGCTTCAGTGAGCGATGTTTTTGTAGAACAGCATGCTGATGCCATTTCAGAACAACATCTTCTTTCAGGCTGATGTCTTTCTAAGTCCTACTTTTATTTGTGCAAATCTTTTCTTCCTTGTGTGGTGATCTCTGATGTATTACACCCTGAAGATGTAATTCTGATCTCTGCATCTTATTGGTTCTTGCATCTTCCCTTCTTGGAGATTTGAGCAGACTAGTGGTGTGGTTTCCCTAGTACTTATTCCTTATTCCTTTGGCAATGTTTCAGTTGCATGCTAAAAGGAGGAGAAGGACGGTGTGGGTGCTAGATACATTAGTAATGAAATTCTTAGCAAAGGAGAGCTTAAAGGAAGCAGAATATAAAGTGCTATAGAGTAAGAGGTAATGTAAAACAGTAGAGTGTGACAGAAAATCCTACTAGGCAAAGTGAGGATTCCCACTGGCTATGTTTTACCAGTAACTGTTGTACAGGGTTGCTGTTTCCTAACGAAAGTTCACATCTTGGCAGAGGGCAGCTACTGAATCACCTCTAGGGTTCCTATCTAGGAACACTACACAATTCTTCCTCTTGAAGAATGAAAGAAGATAAAATCTTTTAGGGGCTTACAGACTGTCCTTAAGTTAGGAAAGAGTACTGGTTTAGAGTCTGAGCACTTTGGGATGTGGGGAAGTTTCTTTGGTTGGTTTGTTTTGCTTTTTTCCAGATGATTAATTGTAAGTATTTTGCACATGATTTTTCAAGTCTTTGTAGCAATTGGAAGGATGATGCTGGTAAGAGAGAAATGAGAACTTAGGCTGAAATGTCCATTAATTCAAGGTCTATTCAAGTGAACTGACTAAAACATAGAGTACAGGTCAAATACCATGACACTGTGCATGTTTGAGTGCTCTGGATAAAATGGCTTTTGACTTTTTCCTCCTCAGTGCCAAATAAAAATAATTGTTTGAAATAGGACACTTTACCTAGGAGAAGCTAAACTTTTTCTTTTCTTGAAATCTCTGTCCCAGTTGGAGGAATAAGCACTCCTATTAATCCTAGAGGGCAAAGAAAGGGCGTGTGTAATCCCTCACCTTGAGCTGTAGATCAGTAGGTAAAAGATGACAGGGCTGTCTTCCAGGTTGCTTGGTGTCATTGTGTGTTGGAAGTGAGAAACTGTAATAGAACAAGAATTTCTACCCCTCATTATATATCTGCTAGTTTGGCAGAGGGATAAAAGAAGGCATAGAGAGGTAACATCTAGTTCCTTGGTCCAGAAACATCTTAAGGACTAGTCAGAAATGGAAGAAAGGAGAGGACAGAAAGGGTGAAACAAACTCACTGGCATATGGGAAAAAATCGACTTTTGAAAACATGGTTTAGGTGCAACTCTCAAAGCTTTGTTCCTTCACACAGAGAAGGATCTTCCAGAGCAGTTGTGCTGATTTGTCTGCTAAACTTCAGATCCAGTTTGGTAGAGGAATATGCAGTACTTCAAGAATGCCATTGTAGATGCAAGTGTGTGCACAATGGCTTCAGTCCAGTACCAAACTCAAATGATCAACAAAATACGCAAAAAATGTCTAAAAACTGAGGAAGTAACAACATAAATTCTTGATCTGAATTTTTTTTCCTTTCTATTTTGCTAGGTTCAGGATGTTGTTCCTATCACAAGCTATGATACTGCTGGGTCTTTCCTGCTGCTGGGCTGTAACAATGGTTCTATCTACTATATAGGTAAGAAATGGGAGCAGGGTGGAATAAAAAGGATAAACAGCTTTTTTGATACAGTCTTTAGTTTACTTAAGTTGCATCAGAACAACTCTGTCTAATGAGAGTAAATGTGTCCTCCCCACAGACATGCAGAAGTTTCCACTTCGAATGAAAGACAATGATCTTCTTGTGACAGAATTGTACCATGATCCCTCCAATGATGCTATAACAGCTCTCAGTGTCTACCTCACACCTAAAACAAGTCAGTATTCTACCACTGTCTCTTTGCTGAGAGTTTGTTAGAAATGTGCTTTTCTGTTTTCTAAATGGACTTCAAATGAATGATGAACAGTAGGCATAGCTGTTTTCCCTTACACCTGTAATCTGTATAAATAGGAACATATACTTACATGTATTCCTATATTAATGCTTGTGCCTAATGTATCTTGGTTGATTTTAAGCCTTTTGCACCAGAGAGGCACACAGGTTATGAATTGTGCTGAACTGGGTAAGGGAGAGACACAACCTTGCTGTTGTGTCTAACTTTATAACCAATATACTAAGAAACATTTCCATATGCAGCTTGATGATGCTTTTTTAATTATGGTGCAGTTATCTTTTAAATTAAAAAGAGAAACAACAGCAACAACAAAAAACCCAAAGCAAAATAAAACTCAAAAAAAAGCCCAGACTGGGAGAAAGTGGTTACTTTCACATAATATGGATACCACAGTAACTTTTTAAACTGTAGCTCTTTCTGTTTTGCTTTGTTTTCCCATTTGCTTCCAACTAAAGCAGAAAAATAAATGTTACGTGGCACATATAGACCATATCACTGTGAGGAGTGCCAAAATACCTGACCATATGACTTTATCCATTTCTTCTTTAACTTTCAGGAGGGAGGAGAGAATGGAGAAAAAAGGTTTTTGTTAAGACAATGTTGGAAGCATGTAGTATGGAATAGAACAAACCTGGGGTCATTTTAGAGGCAAAATGCCCTCCCTGTTTATGGGAAAATGAGTAAACAGTGTTTAAAAAAACATAGCTTTCTTAATGTGGAAGCTGGAAATATTGTTTTCTACTGTCTCCTTCCCTGGCCCCCAAAATAAGCCAAGTTTTTATTCCTGGGGGAACAACTGTGTTCTTGCTTGTTTTAGGTGTAAGTGGCAATTGGATTGAGATTGCATATGGCACCAGCTCTGGAGCAGTGAGGGTGATTGTACAGCACCCTGAGACAGTCGGGTCTGGCCCTCAGCTCTTTCAGACCTTCACGGTTCATCGAAGCCCTGTCACAAAGATCATGCTCTCGGAGAAACACCTCGTGTCAGGTAATGTGTGCACAGATGTGTATTGGTGGTTCTCCCCGCCTCCTGAGCAATGCAGTATCTGTATGCTATGCTCTATAACTTGCATCATTCCCACATGTAATAGAAATGAGTTGGACAGATCTGGGGACAGGGGAAGGGCTAGATTTGCTTGGATCCTCTTTCGTAAAGTAAGCTTTCTTCAACGACTTTAGCACTTGAAAGGCCCAGGTTTTATTTGACCACATACTAGAACAACCCACTCTTTCATTTGTGTCTTATTCCAAGGTTGCCATTTGTAGAAATAAAAGGGCTTGTAAACAATTGTATCTCTGTCAAGTTTTATTGTTATGTGCAGGTCCTTCAGGACTAGTCTTCTTTTAACAGCCTTTCAAGAGCCTTCTGGGCTGCAGCAAAATGTGCACCATCTCCTCCTGGGCCCTAGAAAAAGCCTTCCTGTGACTTCAAAGGGCTGTCTCTTTCTTTTCTCCGCAGTCTCCCAGTGTCTGTTGTGCTATTCTGTTTGTCCTAGTCTTATGCTTAGGAACGTGTCTTACTTGCAGAGCAGATGCAGTCATTCCTTCCTCTGTAAAAATCTATTGCGTCTAGAATCCAGCAGCCAGGGTATGGCAGAGAACTGGTTTACATCTTTCTGCTATCCCTTTATTTAAAAAAAAGGAACAGGAACATGGTATCCAATGATACTGCAAATAAAAGCCCAGAGGTCATTTATTTGTCTACAAGTTGCTGCTAAACCCGCAGTACCAGGAGAGGGCACATCTCTATGTACAAAACTGAGTTAATCTATTAATTCAATGGAATAGGGCTGTTGTGTGAGGAGGGTTCTGCTGCCAGGCTGCTCTCATAACATCTTGTCCTAGCATCTGCACACAGGGGATTAAAGGGGCTGTAGGCTATTGGTGCTAGACCAGACCTTAGTTTGGTGTTGCACCTGTCTCAGTTTTTTGAATTTCTGAGTGAAGAAACAAAATTATTAGAAAATAGGACATCAGGAAGAATTTGTAGACTATTATGAAATTGTGTGGAGATGCTGTGGGACCTCACATTGACTAAATTGTTGATCACTCAGTCTTGAAAAACTGTCATATAGATGATCATTAGAGAAGTTCATCTAAATGTTTTGTCATCCCTTGTAAATGCACATCTTTTCCTTTCTAGTTTGTGCTGATAACAACCATGTCCGGACATGGACTGTGACTCGGTTCCGGGGTATGATTTCGACTCAGCCAGGCTCAACCCCTCTTGCATCATTCAAAATCTTATCCCTGGAGGAAGCAGAGAGTCATGGCAGTTACTGTTCTGGAAATGACATTGGTAGGAGATATCTCTGGTTTGTGCTGTGCCTGTACCTTCACTAGTCTTATAATGGTTTAACAGACCTTCAGCCCTAGAACATGCAAGACAATGGGTGTAAGCTCTTATGCATTTCTCTTCCTTTGAAACGATGGCAAGGATCTGTAAGATTCACTTGGGATTATTATTTAGGCTGTAGAGAGTGAATACACTTAAAGGACTTACTCTGAGTGACAGAAAAAGGGACAAAAAGTCTTTGGAGCACAGATACTATATCTCTTCCTTGAGCAAACTGATGTAGCATTTCAATTCTGATTTAACTACAGAATGAGAGAAAGCACAGGAGACTGTATGAAGCAGATGAGCATAGCAAACATTTAGTCTACTGCAAATTCTAGTTCACTGTTCAGCTGGGGTTAAGCAAATCATGGAAAAAGTTCTTTAATTACTTTGAAGTGGTGACAAAGTTCACTGAAGCCTTGCAACTGCAGAGGCAAAGGGTGCTAGCACATTGCTGTAGCAAGGTATTGAAGGAATGTGTGTTGGTAAATATGTTTAGACAGGTAGTTTAGATTCCTTGGTGGTCTGAACCTTGCAAATAAACCTTTGATGAATAGGATGCCCTGTGAACACAGGCTGGGGTCAGTTACAGGAAATCTGATTAAGCCTTTAGACATAGAGGAGCTGCAAAATAACAAATTACTTACTGTTATTATAGAGACCTAATGTAGGGCTTGTGCTGACATAGTAATTCCTCCAGGAACACCCAGCAAATTTAAGAATGTGAGTTCCTTAGAACAACAAAAACTGATTTAGATGTGTAGAGACTGCTAACCATTGGATGCCTTTTGCTAGCTACTGGTTATCCTTGGCTCCCTGCTCCCGATACTTTAAAATTGCAGTGGTCATACTCATATGAGTCTGGGTCTTCAGAACTGTTTGGGGGAAAAGTTGAGGAGATTGAAACAAACAAACAAGTGATCTTTCCTTTTTTTCCTCTAGGACCCTTTGGTGAACGTGATGACCAACAGGTGTTTATCCAAAAAGTTGTTCCCATTACGAATAAGCTGTTTGTAAGGCTGTCTTCAACTGGGAAAAGGTACATGCATGTTTTAAGTGGGAAAGAGGCAGGACTAGGCCTGTTCAGGTGATGATGTCTCCCTGCTCCATGCTGTGTGTGCAGTTGCACGTAACAGTCTTCTGCTATGCTTGACACCTCTGGATGAACTCTTGTTTCTGTGCCAGTAACAGAATGGTTACTTAACAATTATCATAACCTCAAAGCCAACAGGCTTTTTGAGAGTTGTGGTATCAGAGACTCACTTCATGATGGAGCTCACAAAACAAACATTTCTGTGCCTCTACAGAATATGTGACTCTCAACCATGGTACCATGCTAACATTTAATTTCAGGACTAATGCTGAAGTTGTTGGTGGCAGGGATTATGCTGCTCACAAGTGGGTTTCTCTCTTTCTTAGCACTTGGCCTTGAAGATATTAGAACCTTTAAAATGGAGGTACTGTTTTCTAGGTCATCTATTCAATTATTTTCTTAGGCTTGACTTCATAATTTTCTACTAACATTACTGCCAACATAGTAAAAAAATGTTGTCAAACATAAAAATGTTGTCAAACATAAAAAAAAAAAGTTGTCAAATCTACTGCTGCTTTTCTTCCTGTTAGGCTAGGAAGTTTACAAGAGATCAGAAAAGACAGTGCATTTCAGTTCTATGCTTCATTTTTGCAACTCTTGCCTAATAACTTTGAATCTGGATGAAAACATTAATGCCTCAACACTATGACTTATTTTGGTACTTCTTGGGTGAAAAGTTCACTACAAAGGGCCAGTAAAACAAACTAGTCAGAGCATGAGCAGCTTAGTTTTGGGAGTCCTTTTCTTCTCATTGCTCCTCATAAGCTTCTAAAATAAAGGGGAAAAAAGCAATGGAGGTCTGCCATGACAAGTGAAATTGCAGTTGTGATATGACAAAAGTTATCTTTATAGATAACATCTACCTCATAGAAAATAATATTTGGATTTTTTGTATATTTTTGTATAACTTTTGTGGTTAATGTGCTGTTTCTGCAGGTTAGTTTCCTAGAGTGTCTAGCATATGAAGGGGCTGGTTTCTGTCATTGTTGTGAGAGCCTTAGCTTTATCATTGCAAATAGCAAACAGATATAGAACATGTAGGGGCTGCCTAATAAACAAGCAGTAAGAGTGCAGAAGGACTGGAGGTGGGAAGGGCTTGTCTGCCAGTCATGCAGGGGAAGGAATTTCATTTGGAGAAAAGGTCTTTTTCTGACAGCAAGTTTGGTGCCTTCTCAGAAAATGAAGGAACCAGTACAGACTTCAGAAATGAACCAGTACTGACTTCAGTGGCCAAACTCTGCCGGGTGCAATTGTTCAGGTAATTTGGGATTTCTCTTCCTGTAGGATCTGTGAGATCCAGGCAGTTGACTGCACTACCATCTCGTCATTTACTGTGCGAGAATGTGAAGGATCCAGCAGGATGGGCTCCCGGCCACGCCGCTACCTCTTCACTGGACATTCCAATGGCAGCATCCAGATGTGGGACCTGACCACAGCTATGGACATGGTTAATAAGAGTGAAGACAAAGGTAAGCTGTGTTATGCCAGGACTGTGGTATAGTTCTTTTTTGTGTCCTCAGATGTGCCTGATAGCAGTAAATGGACTTGGCTTCTAAGAACTCTCTCTTGTGCAGATGTTGGTGGCCCCACAGAGGAAGAGCTGCTCAAGCTGCTTGACCAGTGTGACTTGAGTACATCTCGCTGTGCCACACCCAACATCAGTCCTGCCACCTCAGTTGTTCAGCCAAATCGTCTTCGGGAATCTAATTCCAGGTAAGTCACCAAGGGTGGCACCGGCTGCAGACACTGAAGGTTTTACTTTTCAGGTAGGCAAACGGGTTTGGTAAATTAAAGGCTGTAGCTGAGCCTCTGAATTCATGCCCTAAGTGGCTTAAACCACACACATGTACTCCTTGATTTCTACTGGTTTGTATGTGTGCAGACTGAAGTATTCTCTGAGATCTGGAAGCCTTTGTGCGGTGGCTGTGATGAGTGTATTGCTATTGTAGTGGTAATTGCAGTGGTAGGTGGGACCAATGGTGTGCAGAAGAACTGGCTGCTATTCTCAGCCTAACATCTGCTCTTCTTGTATTTTCTAAAGCCTCCAGCTGCAGCACCATGAAACAATCCACGAAACTGCCACGTATGGTTCTGTGCGGCCATACAGAGAAAGCCCCCTCTTGGCAAGAGCACGGCGGACAGAGAGCTTTCACAGTTACCGGGACTTCCAGGCTTTTAACTTATCCAGCAAAAGCCCAACAGAAAAGGCAGCTGCTGCAAATGGGAATTCAAGCCAGACAGAGGCCAGGAAGGCAACAGCTGAGGGCATTTCAGCTGAGAGAAAGGCGGTCCAATCAACAGCACTTGAAGCGCGAGGCACAGGCGTGACAGATGCAAGTGGGTGCTGCAGTACAGATGTTCACCGCCTGCCAGAGAATTCTCTGGATCTCAAAAGAAGAGGACCTGAAGAAGAGAATGAAACCAAAGCAGAAAGCAAAAAGAAAATGGGATTTGAAGGAGCTGGTTTCTTGGGAAGAAAGAAAGTGCCTCTCCTGGCCTCGGCACCAGTCCTTGCTGAAGGTGGGCCTGAATTACCTGGTGCAGCTTCTCCATCACCTACAAGAACAGCTGCTTCACCACGACACCGGAAGAATGACTCATCCTGCCAAGACTATGGCTTGTGAAAACATGTCTGGTGGCAAAAACAAGGTGCAGGTGCCCTCTGGCTGGTAGCAGGAATGATGTTACATGGTGTGGGTTGTTTCTTGAGTGGGATTTTGTTCTCATATAAACTGTTTTATTCTGTTCAGAATAAAACTTGTAAGGCTATGAGAAAGTTCCTAGCTGCTGCCAAAGCTTTGATGTGGACAACCCTTCAATGTGTGGCTTTATGTAATGCTCCAAAATGTAGTACGGTACTTGGTCCAAAATATTGTTGTGCATTCTTGCGTAATTGTGGTCAGGCATGTGATATGTTGTCATTATTTTTGTTTTGGGAAAAGGGACAGTGCTAAAGGAAAACATGGTTGCTGAGCAGAGGATGCCTAGTGCTCTACAGTGCTGCTGCTGTCTTGGGTGGATTTTGCCTAATTCACAGAGCTGCCTCTGTAGTGTTGTTTAGTGAATGGGATCCTTGCTCTTTATGCTGCTGTCTGGTATCTGAAGTGTTTTGTGCAGGTTAAGGAGGAAGTTATCCAAAATAGCATATGATTTTGTCTCTTAGTCCAAATAAATTACCAGAGGAGTGTTGCTTATACTTTCTGAAAATGTGTGGTATTAGATGATGGATTTTGCTGATTGTGACTGAGAGAATGCATAAAAATATGCTTGGCAGAATACACACAACTGGTAGTCTCTTGAGGGCTTCCTTGTCACTTTCTCTGGAAAAAGGACAGAGATGAATATGGGAGTAGCTTTACTGTCATGGTGTAATAATTCTCAATTACAAGTGCCTTGACATGGTATTTCATACCTGTGTCACACTGTTTGCACCTAGTTTACTGTGGATAGTGAACAAGTTTTATTGCCTGTGGATTAGTAATACATAAGCAGAAAGGAAGGATGTGACAGCAAGTGAAAAAGCGTGCTTGAAGTTCAGCATTTATTAATGATCTGTTTTGTTGGGTTTTTTAACTTGAGCTGAGAGGGAGGGGAAGAGGGAGTGAGAGAACACAAAGGCTACAACAACTTCCTAAGAATTCCTTCAGTGCTGTTTATTCACCTGTGCATGAACACAATTTTGTGGTGGAGCACTGTCAGGCCAGGAGAAAACATGGACATCTGGCCATACAAGCCCCTTTTAGCCACATGCTGTTTTTTGGACATGTAAAAAGACTTTTCCTTACCAAACATGCTGCCCTGCCCCCCTCTATCTCTCCCCTGCCCCTACAACCCTCCTCAGCTGGGAAAGCTGGATAAGAGACACAGATAGGAGCCTCTACCTTCACAGTCTTTGACTACTGTATGACTGAGGGATTGTCAAACTATTCTCTTACCTTTCTGAGGTGTCAGTGCTAGCACACAGTTTTTACTATACAGTGAAAGGGATGTTGAAAAAAAAGGCCAACTTACCCTCCTTCCCCAATCCCCTCCCAAAAACCAGTTTTATCTATTAACTCCAGGGCAAGGGGTGGGGAAACAGCAGCCCTATCCCTGCCTGCAAAGGCCATGCAGGCTGCTTTTGGCAAGTTACCCACTTCCATTTTCTAGAAAAGCTGGTTTTGTTCTTCAGAGGTGGGTATCAGTGAATGTGGTGTGCTCTTTGGTGACGGTGCTGAAGCCTTTGATGACATTGACAAGATCTTCTTCATCTACATACTGTAAGGAAGGGAAAAAAGAAGCATATCAGCCAAAGCTGTACCAGACTAAAAGTGATTCCTTCATTTCTCTTTCCTCCTACCCACTAAAAATGGTTCTAAAATAGACAAATAAGTGCATTTCTAATGTCTTCCCTTTCCTCCAAGGATGAGATAAGAACCTAAAGCATTCAAGCACCTGAATCCAAGACAATTAGATTTTCATAATAAGCAGTAAGTTAAAAAAATACAATCAATCCTTACTCTATCTATTTGCCAAATTGTCAATAATATAGTGTTTGTTACAGTGTACTGGGAACTTGGAACCATGAAAAGAAAAAATACATGTTTACAATTGTGTTTTGTGTAACAATCTCACACAGGATTTAGGTAAAGTTTTGTTCTTCATGCTTCCAAGGGAGTGTCTGAGCTTCCACACCTGCATTAAGAGAAAGTTGAAAGCAGGAGAGAAATAAGCCATTTCCATAGCATAAGGAGGGCACTAGCAGTGTTACTGCAGGTTTGTGTCCTGGGCCCCTACAGCCTTTCACTATGCTGATGTGCAGTCTGGACAAAGGGGTGAACCAAACTTTGAAACCACCATTCCTAAGCTACTGTGTGTAATAAAGAGAAAGAACTGACTCAAAAGCATTGCAGGAAGTTTTTTTGCAAGAGAGTAGCTGTGCAACACAGGATCAGTCTTGGGTTTGTTCAGAGGAATGTAAAGCAATGTAATGATAAGACCCTAACTAAAAGTGAATAAAAGAAACACCCTATTGTAACTAGCCCAGAAGCCCCATGCATTTTAGGCATAGACTTCCTCCACAGTAAGTATTTCAAAAATCAGAAAAACTCAAGTGTTTGAGATAGTGGCTATAAAAACAAAGAGCATTAAGCAATTAAACACCTTACCTAAACTGAAAAAACCTATCTACAATAAAACCCTGAAAAATAAAAAAACAACAACTACCACTTGCCATCTTGACAGTGTACCACCAACATACGAAACAGCTAAAAATGCCACAATCCCCATCCACAAAATAATCCATAACTCAAAAAGCCAAAAAAAAACCCCAATAAAACCCACTCACCCTTCAACAACCCCCTTTAACCTATACACAAATCTAAAAAAAAAAAATTAAGTATAGACTATCATACCTTAAATAAAGTAACTCCACCACTAAGCACTACCCTACCAAACATATTAAAACTCCAAAATAAATCCAAAACAACTAAGTAATATACCACTATTAACATTGCCAATGCATTTTTTTACACCCAACCCCTAATCAAAAAAATAAAAAACCCTATACTAATTACATTTTAATTATATTTACTCTGTAATAAAATGAAGCAATCAATAACCATATTATTTAAATTCATAATCTCTCAAAACAAAAACTTTCATATATTTCTAATCCCTAAACTTTTAAAAACTTTTAATGCCTTTCTAATCCCTAAACTTATTCTCTTATCCAAAAATAACTCAAATTTTATGCCTAACACACAATTTTTACATTAAAAAATATACAATGCACCTAAAACCAACTACCCCAAAAATAAAAGCACAATCCCACCATCGACCATAAACTAATCCAAACTACACTAAAAAAAAGTAAAATTCAACATCTACAATACATCAATAACATTATATAAAAAAACCACAACAATATTTTTAAAATATTTAAAAAAAATCCAAATTCCCCAAAAAATAAAATTTAAAACCTTTAAAAAATCCAATTCCTGAAAATAAAATAACAAAATAAACAACATCAAATTCCTACCAATATCATCAACAAAATTACATCTCCACCAACCAACAAAAACAACCCACAAACTTTCCTAAACACTATAAACTTGTAAAAAACCACATATTTCTAAGTACAACCAAATTATAAACCCTCTCTACCTAATCACCCACAAAAAACCACTTTCAATAAAACCCTAAACAACAAACCTTTACCTAAATCAACAATCACTCATACAATAACCCTTAACCCCATCAAATCAAAACCGAATATAAAATACGTGCTCTACTTTACAATCAAAACCCATAATCTATCCTAAAACCTTTAACAAAAAATACCTAATAAAACTCAAAATCAACTACTAAAATTCTAAAACCAAAATTACAAAAAATCTAAAACCAACTACACTCCAACAACAACAAATAAAATTAAGAACCTATAAAAAAATCCAAACCACCTCAAAAATAATCAGCATCAAAATACAACTCCTCCTAACACCCAAACTACCAATACAAAAATAAATATTCACAACAAAAATTCTCTCTACCCACCATACCACCAATACTACATAAACTAAATAAATTACCCCTCATCGCACAACACACATAAAAAACTAAATCACTCTTAACTTTTAAAAATAGAAATTAACCTAAAAATAAAAACTTTAATCTCATAAACAAAAAAAACGAAAAACAAATAGCACAAACTAAAGAAGTCCACCATACAACCAACAACAAAAAATCACATTACATGGTTGTTACTAATAATTCTTATCACATTATAAAAATAAAATAAAAATAAAAACCAATCATATAAAACCCACACAACAAATTACAAAAACTACCAAAAAAACCATAAGTCAAACCAACTTACTAAACTCAAAACCATTCAACTCTGTCAAAACATTATCAAAAACCCCCAAAACTCTGCATTTACACTAATTCATAACTAATAACCAGTACTCTATAAAAGTAACTTAAAAAACCTAATTAACATTAATTTAAACTACTAAAAAATAAAAAACATCACTATTAAAATAAAAACTATCTATAAAAATCCACCATATGAATACCCATATCCCCAAAAATCAAACTAATAAAAACCACCAAAACAACAAACAAATAAATCAAACTACCAAAAAAATAAAAAAGAAACTTAAATTAACACCCCCTAAAAAAATTATTCCTAACTCAATAAACTCATAATACCTCAAATCCTCAAAAAATACCACCTATAAATAAATCCAAAACAAAAAACTAAATTTAACCATAAACAATATTTTTCAAATTATCTATAACTATAAAACATACAGTACCATCAAACAAACCAAACAATTAAAACCTTTATAATATAAACAGTAATCCAAATATAAATATAATGAACCTACTAAATTAACTACATCACACTACCCCAAACACCCCAAAATAAGCACTATATACTCCCAATAATAAAAACCACCACAAAATAACTAAAAAGCTACCCTATACCTCACACTACAACCCATAACATCATCCTAAACCTTAAAAATAAATCCTTTAAAAATATAATACCCCTAAAAAATTAAATCAAACAAAACTGATTTCAAAAACAATCCTATCAACACCTAAATCAAAACCCGTAACATTAAATAAATATATCATATCCCCTACCATACACCAACTACAAACAAAATAAAAAATAAAATAAAATTTCAAAATACAATAAACTATTAAAAATCATTAAATAAAATCAATAAAAACATTAAATAAAAAATCTTTTAAAATTTAAAAACATCTAACAACAAGGACCTAATTAATTAATATCCAAAATTCCAGCAGCCAATCAAACTCTACCCAATCTAAACACCTATATACAATAAACAAAAACAAAACCCCAATAATACATATCAAAAATTTATTTTAAAAAAGTTTAAATCAATTCTACCTCAAATACAAACAGACCTATTAATAAAATTACCTAAATAAAATCTATTGAATTGCATAGAAAAAAAAAACCACCAAATAGAAGGGAATTCTTCAAAGTGCATTTCCTTGATAACCATGGAGTTTAGTTCAACAGAAACCATAGAGATGCACGTGGATCACTTGTATCCTATAAGAGCAGTGTGTGATCACCTGCAACTCTAGAAGAGAACAGGAGACTTGAAGAATTTTGAGGATCTAAGCTATGGCCATGTCTTTCTAGGCCTTTTGGCTGTATCTCCAGGAAGTCATGACATTTAGACTTCTTCATTATTCCAACAGAACAGACAAATCTCTAGCAGGTGACGCACAGCAGCATCCCAGAGGAGCAGGAGCCCTTACCAAGCCACGGCCAGTAGTGCGATGGTTGTGAAGGATGGCATCCCAAGGTGATTCATCAAAAGTCTTCTTGTCATAGAGGTTGAGCAGCTGGCTGACACTGCGATGGAGAGAGGCAGGGGAATACGTGCGACTCAGCTGGCCCTGACTCGGCCTCCTGCCCCCGGCTGCCAGACGGAAACTGCGGTTGCTCGTGGGAGAACCAGACCCTGGGATTTTCGTATCTCCCAGTCCCTGTGAGGTAGACACAAAGTAATGAATAAAAAAAATAAAGGGCACGGTTTTAAATAATTTTGCTGAACAAAACCAAAGCAGGAGTAGAAGGGAACAGAAAAAACCCTGCCTCAAAATCATGCAGTCATAAACAGAAGAAAAAAAAGCCCAGACTTTTCCCAGCTATAGAACAATCATATCATTAAAAACAAACACAAACCCCACCGACACTAAACCAGAATTTTCTCCATTTTTCTATTTTCTTCTTCTTCTTCCTAATTTTTTTTAAGTATCAATAAGCAGAAGTCCAAAATTTTTGTTTACCAGAATGATAGCCTAGACTTACACAGCAATAGGATGTTTGCAGGTCTTTTCATAACCAGGGGAAAAATCATCACCCACCAGGAGAAACATGCAGTGTCAGATGCCTTTGTGCATGCTTGGGTCATCTGACACACCACACTGTGTCACTCTGCAAGCTGAGGACTCTACCTCAAAATGCATCGTGTATCTTTTGAGAGTGACGCTGCTTGATGAATCGGACGTGTCAGCAATAGTTTCAAACTGAGATTAAAGAGAGGGAGGAAAAGCATTAGGGCAGAGCAAGCTGCAGTGTAGGTGTGCCTGACAGAGGGTGTAAATTGGCTGCAGCTCTGTGAGGGAGAGCAGTGCAGCAGGATGTGGGGGAGTAGGGGAACTGGCAAAGACCGGGCACTATTTAATTTTTAAGTGGTCAAGTACTGTGTGAGCAGCCAGCATTGCTTGCCACCACCTCACTAACAATTATAAAACAAGCAATTTTGCTGGTCCATAGTAGCTCTGTCCTGACTTCTCAGATCAGTCCTTCAACTGCTGCACTAGAAATCTTCCTTTCTATTAAGTCCATGAGCTGGTGGAAGAAGAAAGAGAAAAAAAAAATTAAAAAAATAAAAGAAAAGAAAGAGTAGGAACACGAAAAGGAATTGTGTAGGCATGCCAACAGCAAAGACATTTTAAAGTCAAGAGGAATAACACAACATGACAGACTGTAGAGGAAAAGGAATCAAAACCACGAGACCAAAAAAAAAAAAAGTTTCTTATGCTCTTAGCCTTTGCAAGGAGAAGGGGCACACTGGAAATCCCATTGTTTCCAAGAGCTTGGTCGAGGCACAGATGCAGTGTCTTGGCACCAAGACAAGAAGGAACAGAATGCGTGAAGGATGCAGGAGTCACTATGCTGCTTGATGGCACTCACAGGAAAAAGAAGCTGAGAAGTGACAAGCAGAATCATCTCATGGCCTGTGCCTGCAAGAAGCATGAAAATGGAAGGCATGGCTGCTCCCATTCTCAATCCCATAACAACTGCCATATTCCTTTTGTTTTGCTTTTTCAATGGGTAGCA